TTGAAATTATTTGAAGAAACTAGCTAAATCCTATCTAATTACTTCATCTCGTGGAATAATTTTCCGATATTACTATTAATGATATCAATATTAACATCACCATTTTAATTCCCTGTTTTATTTAATTAGCATTCAACTTTGATCTTTGAACTTTGGTTCAGAATATGATTTCTTGAAGACACTTAAATAAGTCTAATTTTTAAAAATACGGTTACTAAACATCTACTTTAAATGAGTAAACGGTAAAAACAAGATTACAACGCTTCCACTTTGATGGAGTAAAAGTTAAAAATAAGATTACTATACATCTACTTTGATTGATTAAAGGGTAAAAATAAGATTACTATACATCTACTTTGACTAAGAAAAAGGTAAAAATAAGATTATTACACATCTATTTTGATTGAGTGAAAGGTAAAAAAAGATGGAAAGCACACATGCAAGCTTGTCTTGTTGACTTCAGCAACTGGACAGCACATCGACCTGAATAAATTCGCAATTTTGCCCGAGCCTTCATGAGAGAGATATTCAGTGAGGGATTAAAAGCAAAAAAAAAAAACAACAACAAAACAATTAATAGTAAGATGTAAAAGCTTTGGTCCATGTTTAAAGTAAGACTAGTGCATCAGTTGGCCGAAAGTCCCTCACTGGATGTTTCAGGGGAGGGCAGGGCGCCGGGAGAGCCCTACATGAGGAGAATGTTACATGACTCAGCTCAGCAGATGGAGCTGGTAGCCAAGGTACTATCCGGGGTCGTAAGAGAGTCATCTCAGACCTTCACCAGAATATGTGCGTTAGTTTGTAAATTTAATGCCCTTCGCCACTACTGTTTTAGAAACGTACACTTGCCAGAATCATTTCACATGTCCTAGTTTAAGGAAGAACTCAAAGATAAAACCATAAGATGAGCTATGAGTCGACTTTTCCTCCAAATAAAAATGACACCGTGCAATTCATTTTCATCATTTCCTGGGGGTGAAATCACGTTTTTTCAATCTACACAATACACGCATGGTCCGGAATAATAAGATGAATGCTTCAAATAAATTCACGGCCATTGATACACTAACAAAATAACACTTAAGTGTGAAATCAAGTTATTCACCATCAGCAAGGTAACCAAGAAATTTAACAGAAATGTAAAGAAACACGAACGTAGTTTAGATAAGGGCTTGACCTTAAGTAACACTCCACATGTCACACCAAATCCATGCTGATTAGGGCCGTGCGAAATGAAAAAGCGAAAAAAAATGGGGGGGGGGGCTCTAACCGGTGTGCGATCTTTGTGAGGGCGCCGAAAGCATAGTCTTCGTGCAAACTATGTCTTAAGATAGATACCTCAGGTCTATAGTCAGGGTGTTCCCCGGCCCCAGGTTTCGTTTGCCACGGGGCTGTGTCTGACCTCGATATGATATAATGCTGACCTGACATAAGAATGAAAAATAAACCTGAATGCCCTTACGGTTTGACCTCATCGCTCTCAATGTCCAGGTAGAGCAGGCCTGCACAGCTCAAAGTGTAAAGTGGGTCGTATTACTTTATGAAAACCTTGTGCGGGCTGAAAGATAATAGGACAGGGGCGAAAGTTATTAGTAAAATAATAATAAGAAAAAATATTTCGTTACTTCACGGGCCGCCAAGTAGGTCCTGGCGGGCCGTATGTTGTGCAGGTCTGAGGTAGAGTATACTAACCCAAGCAATCTTGAACCACAGTCGGTCTTGACCTCACTACAACCGTACTCCAGCCGCAACGTGTCTTTCATCTGTTTACGTCCCAGGTCGCTCTTGTTCGACGGCAAATTTAAACGACTATCAAAAATTAAAATCTCCTTGAAAAAATTTAAAATCAATATTCCATTTATTAAAAGTAAGAAAACCAAATAAAAAGAAAGAAAAACTTTATGAAAAAGAACTCTATCAACGTTCTTCAAAGATGAGGTCCTCCAAAGCCAGCTCAATGAAAGTGAGCTATGTAGTGGCCCACGAAGAAGAAGATCAAGGCCACGGAGAGGTGTTCTGGGGGTCCGGAAAGTCACATTGTTAGCCGGACCACGTTTGCTTCTGGTCATTCTGATCGCGTAGCTCTCAACTTACAGACACGAACAAAGGCATCGAGCTGACATTTTCAATACGGCCTTTAATGTGCATTTTATTCCTATTTGTTTACCCGAGTCTGCTCCAACTTAGTGTGTTAGAGTCCACCACTTATCTGCCCCCCCTCCCAAGTTTTTATTTAAAGCAATCAATCGCTTGTGGTTAGTCAATATTGTAAATTTTCTTCTTAATAAAGATTTCTATAGCTTTGTCAGTGCCCAAATTCTTACTAAACACCCCCTTTCAATCTTAGAGTAGTTTATCTCTGGTTGTTTTAATGTTTTACTGAGATACAAGATTTTGTTATCATGGAATATTTCTTTGATTAAGTTAAAACCCATTTCACATTTCCGTGACGAAATTATTTGTTTTGAACTTGATTTGTAAATTAGTTGTCTCAGTGGTAATGTGATGTCTGAATATCTAGGGATAAAGTGATGTCTGAATATCTAGGGATAAAGTGATGTCTGAATATCTAGGGATAAAGTGATGTCTGAATATTTAGGGATAAAGTGATGTCCTAATATCTAGGGATAAAGTGATGTCTGAATATCTAGGGATAAAGTGATGTCTGAATATTTAGGGATAAAGTGATGTCCTAATATCTAGGGATAAAGTGATGTCCTAATATCTAGGGATAAAGTGATGTCTGAATATCTAGGGATAAAGTGATGTCTGAATATCTAGGGATAAAGTGATGTCCTAATATCTAGGGATAAAGTGATGTCTGAATATCTAGGGATAAAGTGATGTCTGAATATCCAGGGATACAGTTGCTATAGAAATTGGATTATCCTAAAACAGTAAAATCCCCTTTACTTCTTTTTGATCCTTAGGAATTCTGAGATTTAATGCCTAGTCCTGATTAGTTTCAGTGTTTGTCCACAAGACCACGAAATGTAATGTCTTCTTTATCAAATTTCAAAATTTTCTGGCTCTTTTGTAACTTCTTGCTGTCTTCATTTTAAAAGTATTTCTTTTACAGTTTTCACACGTAATTTCAAATCTTTTGATCCAGATGTCATCCACAAATAATACAATATTTGTTATTCCTTCCAACATCAGTCTCATAAATCGTTTAAAAGGGCTGTAGTTTAATGTTGCGATTTTGAATCATATGTTTTGGGTAACAGATCCTAAGGGACGGTATAAAATAAAAACATTGAAATTATAATTAAAAGATAGAGATTAATGGAGCTTAGACTAATGATAAACTTGACTTTAAAATTATATTCGTTAAAATCACAATGGCTTTCATTCAAAGTAAACTTTATAAAATGTTGGCTTCTTCGGGGTCCTAGCTTCTGCGTGCCATTTTGGTGTAGGCCTATATTATTCCACCTGTCACATAGGCAAACACTCAGCTTATGATTTCAAGTCGTCTTGCATCTCAAAATAAATAGTAATTATCGATGGTCAAATTAAATTTTAATTTTCGGCCTTTGCACCTAAATAAAGCTCACCCCTATAAATAGAAAACAGTGCCACCAGGAGTGAACTGCTCCCACCCCCCTCACCCCCTCGTTTTGCCACTGCCTGGACTAGACAGTAGGATGCGCAGTCATAATATCAAAATGAAACTTCTCAAGTTTTCCAATTCCAAGAATCCGCTCTGCTATTTGTGGTGCCACGTATTTACGGGTAAACCCGTTAATTTCACTAACAAATTGAAATTAAACATTAAAGCTTTTCAATACTCGTACGTTAGATAATTAAATAACTTAAATGCAGCCCATCAATTATTATCTCGTTGGTCAGATGCACTAACTAAACAAATAATGGGGAATTTCCATAATTATTATTATTATTCCAACACTGGTTTCAGACCGTCGGGAACACCATGTTAACTATAAATATACCTGCTGATAAGTGACGTGATATACAGACTTTGATCCGAGAACCAACATAACTCTAAGACACTTTTGTGGAATATTTCAACTAAAGGGTAAGCTTGGCCTGTTGTCTTACTGTACATACTGTAACAATGAAGCACTTTAAGATTACCATCAGCTTTACACACTGAATATTAAATACATGCTCATCAAATGTACGTAATGCATAGAACCGTTCAGTCCATACGTTTCTTATTATGAATGTTCTGCACTTCAATGGCTAATCAATTGATGGCGTGCATATGTCCAAGTGGTCCTCTTTCTTTTTAAAAGAGAAGATAAGTAAACATGGCTACATATCAAACTATCTATTTCAGTAGTTCGTTATTTGACTCGGGGGAAGTCCAGATGTCAGTAACATACATTCATCTTGTCCCAATCAATAACGGAAATTCGATATTTAAAACAAGTATTCCCATTAAATGTTCCGCACCGCTCCAGAAAATGCCCGTCTTATGAAAACACAATGCAAACTATCAGGAAATGACCAAGAAGAAAAAGAATTTCTAAGAGAAAAGAGCAAATGGGTTGGTTCATATAACGTGCATTTTCATATCATTTGCGGTTGTCATGGTTTGTCTAAGTAAACATGGACTGGATGAGGACACCGTGAATTGAAAAAGAAAAAAAAAACTATTTAGAGTAAAAGTATACTTTTTTTTAAAAATATATAATTATTATTTCTGGGTCTGTTTTAATTAACCAAACTCATCTTATGGGAATTGAATTGAGAAGAAAACAAACTTGATTTTGGAACCAACCCTAATTGGACATTCAAAGTAACAAGTCAAATAAAATTACAAGTTTAAAAACAAAATCCACAAATAAGACAATCCAGAGCTTCTCGACAATAGCAGTATTAAACGAAAAAAAAAATGTTTCTAAACATTTTTGTTTCTAAATTATACCTAGCATTGTTGAAATAGACGCTAAATGAATTTACATACCGTACTTAAGTTTGCAAAATAAATTACGTTTATAAGTCAATTTTAGAAAATGTGTTTCTTTCTTCCAGACCACAAATTCATCTTTATCATTATGGACAAACCAGAAGATGATTTGGAAGCATCTTTAAAAAGTTTCCCTTGCATGATTTTTCTGGAAGATTCCAGCAATGTAGACCATCAGCGGCTGAAGGATCTTCAAAAGAAACTGCAATCTGAACTGGACATGGACAACGACTATCAGACAGAACTTGTACAGAAACTCAACGTTTACACGTGGGTGGAGTTTAAATTAGACAACAAAGAAAAGGCTAAGGCCCTGAATAACAGAGTGCTTGAGTTGGACCAGAACAACGTTACTGCTCTAGGAAACCTGGCTTACATGAGCTGGATGAACGGGGAAGAAGATCTGGCCAAAGATTATTTAAGGAAGCTTCAAGCTTTGCACATGCACAAGGATGCAAAGTCAATGATGGCTGTCGGAAAAGCACAGATGGGTTACGCTTACTCGCGTCTCGGTGGTGTTGAAAATATCGAAAATGCGATTGAGATCTACACGGAGGTGTTAGAGGAAAAACCCGATTTTGTCAATGGGAAACTGTGTCTCGGTTTGCTGCTGAGGAGAATCACGCACAACAATTTGTCAGCCGAGTTCAAATTTAAGACGGACCATAAGAACCACTTCGAAAAAGCAGCAACTCTTTTGTTTGAGGTGGGCGTGTCTGGGGAAGATGGCGCCGTACAAGGGCGAGCTTATGCTGAACTGGCTCTCTTGTTGCAGGATGCTGAAAAATTTATAAGTAAAGATGAATGTAGGGAAATATTCCGACAGAAAGATATACTTGAACTTTGTGAGGAAGCCTTAAAATATGGTTATGATAATGCGAGAACGGTTGCAGAGTGCGGGCGAATCTTGAAAGATAAACACTTGGACAAAGCTATCCCACTTCTTGAAAGATCTTGCGAGTTGAGAAACCATACGATTGCATGTCACCATTTAGGAATCTGTTACGAGAGAAAGGCGAAAGAGATTATGAAAATAAAGATGACAGAAAATAATGCTGCTAATGATAGTTTTGAAGATATCATACTGAATCCCGAAGACGAGTTAGTGAAAAAAGCAATATCCATGTATGAAGAGGCCATCAAGGTATCTTGCGACACCAACATGTCTGCCATGTACAGTCTCGGCTTGTGTCTCAAGGCGTGTTGTCGACTTGAACAAGCCCTTGGGCAATTCAATAAAATCACAGTGACTGCTCACAGACGAAAAAATAAAAAGAGACAGCTAGATCACATAGTTACTTTGATTAACTCGTACGAACAAGCCGGCCTGTGCCAACTGCAGCTCACCGAGAAACAAGACGAAGCCGAGAAGAAATTAATGCAGGCGGTCAGTTTAGCTGCCGTCGTGGTGGCTTCGAGGCCGGACTTGAACACCCACACCAAACACATATGGAATGCATTAACAACTATTGAAGATGTGTACGATCAGAAACCACCAGAATCCATTAAGATTCTCATCGGCCTGCTGTCACGTATCGGACATCATGGTAAGGTCCTCCAGTATTTTGAAAAACTTCGTGAACTTGGTGATGACCACGCCTCTCATCCCGATGTGATGGCAAAAGTACTTGACAGTTTCATGGCACTAAGGGAGTACGACAAGGCGTACACAACATTGACAATGCTAAGGACGCAGGCTTTGTTTGCATTTGAAGATGAATTGACTCTGAGGATCAACCTTTTCACAGCTGCCAGCCGTCTGCAGACTCGGGAAGGAGATACAGAGTCGATTTTCAAAGACGTTTTCGACACTCACTTTAAACAGAAAGGGAACACGGAAAATGGAGGGAACAGATCAGAAGAAAGTCTTGGAGAGACTTCTACAGTGTTGTTGGATGTGCTGATGCTCCACAACGATCTAGGAGATCAAAATGCGAGTGAAGAAATTAGACAGAAATTTCTTAACATTATAAATACTTTCTTTGGATTAGAAGTGAGCTGTAACCTTGAGGTGAGTTTGAATGTAAAACATACACACACACACGTTCACACAAACACACATACACACACCCCCAAACACATACACACACAGAGACGAGCACACACACACAATAACACAATTAACCAGTGAACTTGAGGCCCATCTCATCATCATTGAATATTCCCCGCTCGACACAGCCAAAACTCATCATGTAAATATAAAATAAACTTGAATAAGTTGTCTTATCAACAATAAATTATATTCACCAATGCCAACGCTATGGGCGTTAATCAATTGAAATAAAATAGAATCCTCTACAGGAAATTTTCCAGAAAGGGGCCAATTTATTTATCCCTAAGTTAGGACCTATACTTATATTATAATACTTCAGTGGCGTGAATAAAATGCCCGTTTATGATCTTGGGGGGCGCACTAATTAGGTTAGGGTTTAAAGAAAATGCGTTACTTGCATCCAGGATTTGTCAAATGTTAAGCCGCCCCATTTCTCGATTTTACATTTCATAAAGGATTTATTCTTTATACGAAAAACTTTGTTGTTTTTTAAAGGGTTGTTTAGTTTATGGTTAGGGCCCAAAATAAAATATTTTTTTAAAGACGATTTATAAATTGAATATTAATTTATGGAAAGATCTAGGCCAAACTTGATACGCATACACTCGAAGTTCTGTAATAAAAACTGGAGTGTTTTGAACTCATAATAATCACCACGGTCGGGGTAAGATACACTAATTTCAATTTCTCTCAGATGCGTTACATCTTTCACAATTATCAACGCATTTAACATTTTCCATTTAATTTAGCTATTTATCTCAGGAATTATTTAGGGTCCCTATCTTATTGATAACTTAAACGTCATCTTATAGAACGGGTCCACACGGGAGGGGTGGGGGGGGGGGTATTTTAATGTTTAACGCTGTGCGTTACGTCATTTGTTACGTCATTTTTTTTGCAGATGTTTTAGTTTTGAAATAATGATGTCATAAGAATCATTTTTGACAAGTTATTTGAAGATTTAAAGAAAATATAGAATGTTCCAGGACGTTCTACATTTCTGCTTACTTAACTTAAACGTCATCTTATAGAACGGGTCCACACGGGAGGGGTGGGGGGGGGGTATTTTAATGTTTAACGCTGTGCGTTACGTCATTTGTTACGTCATTTTTTTTGCAGATGTTTTAGTATTGAAATAATGATGTCATAAGAATCATTTTTGACAAGTTATTTGAAGATTTAAAGAAAATATAGAATGTTCCAGGACGTTCTACATTTCTGCTTACAGATATAAATGTTATGAAAATGTCAGAGGAATCGAAAAGTTGATGGTCATCTATCTACGAAAAAGTTCAGCAAACTTTCCCTTGCCCCACCTTTTCCCCCACTTACTCACAATGATAACAACTGACATGACTTTATTGCGCTGAGTAATGAAAACTAAAATGGTATCGGCAGTGAGAATCTTTTAGAGTATCGTTTTAATAAAACCTCTACATAAGCGATTCCCAAATCTTGAGTTTGGCGGACCAGAGTACACATTTTGAAAATGAACCTGTTACCGGTGCAATATTTATTATTTTTTGTCTGCTATATTTTCTTTATTTGACCATAAATATTCATGTTATTCGGACCGGAAACGTAAGTGTCGCGGACCTGTGCCGGTCCGTGGAACACCATTCACGTGACGCATCTCATCTTGTCACCCTATTCCCCTTTAATTTAAAACTACCAGTCTCCCACCGTCACATTTTGAAATATGATATTAACAAAAGTCATGACTCCACAGCCAATGTGGATAGTATAATGTTACTTCTCTAAAACGTTGTGTAATATTTCGTCTATCTCCCTTTGTACAGGGTTGCTTCCCGGGAGGAGTTAGAGCTGAACTTCTCCTGAAAGAAATACAAAGGTCAAAGTTGATTGTCTTCTTGTTTGACCCTGCGCCATTCTCCAGGTAGGTCAACATTGTCGTGTTGTACATGAATAATGATTTACAATAACAATTTGTATTACGTTTAGTCTGATGGGATCGTACGCTATTTTTAAAGTTATAGCTGTATTTAATTGCATAAAAAAACATTTTAAAATAAATAAATAAACGTATGAAGATTATCAAATGTACAATTTATTTTATAAGATGATTGTGTAAGATTTAAATCCCCAAAAATGTGGCTATTTTATCACGCTGATAACGCAATGATATGAAATTAGCATGAAAGAAACAAGACATTTAAAGAGTAGGGGGAAAAGAAATGCGTATAGCGACAAAAAAAATGGGGATGGGATCGCCTGAGCCACTTCGCTGCAGCCGATTTGCCGCCACCTTTTCGTCTTCGACGTTTCGCCGCCGTCTTTTCCCTGCGACTTTTCGCCAACGCCATTTCGCCATTGGGACGTTTCACCAACAACGTTTTTGCTGACGGCCCAAATTCGCCTGCTAATAGAAAGAAATGATTTTAAAAATGTATTTTAAAAAACGAAGAGTTTTTGTTGATAAAAAGTTCATCTGTGCTCAGGTCATCTGTTTTCAGGTCATCTATGGTCAGGCCATCTGTGTTTAGGTCTTCTGTGCTCAGGTCGTCCGTGTTTAGGTCATCTGTGCGCATGTCATCTGTGCTTAGGTCATTTGTGCGCAGTTCATCTGTGTTCAGGTTATCTGTGCTCTGGTCATCTGTGTTCAGTTCATATACGCCCAGGTCGTCCGAGCCCAGATCATCGGTGCTCAAGCCCTCTGTGCCCAGGTCATCTGTGTTCAAGGCAACTGTGTTTAGGTCATGTGAGCGCAGGTCATCTGTGATCAGTTCATCTGTGTTTAGGTAATCTGTGTTCAGGTCAACTGTGTTTAGGTAATCTGTGTTCAGGTCATCTGTGCTCAGGTCATCTGTGCTCAGGTCATCAGTGCTCAGGTCATCAGTGTTTAGGTCATCAGTGCTCAGGTCATCTACAATACCTCCATACCTCTATAATGCAATAATTTGGTGTGCAAAAATGGTATCTCGCTTTATTTGCCTTCTCTTTGGAAGGCATGTGTGCGGGTGCATTCGTCAGAGGCGTGGCACATACTTAACAAAAATGAGAGTAAATGTCTCTCAGTTTACACATTGATGCCCATATATCCACGTAGCAGTTTATACGAAACTAAGAGGCAAAACCTCAAACCGATTTTGACCTTTGCACCTATTTACAAATTGCCTTAAAACACTTAAACATACTTAAATTTCTTGTGTATTGAAATATCACTTTGATAATAATTTTTTTTTTTTGGATCAAAGTCGGCGAAACGGACGCCGGCTGGCCGTCCGGGGGCGAAACAGAGGCGGTGAAATGGTGGTGGCGAAGTTGGTTCAGCAAAGAAACGGCGGCGAATCGTTACGGTTCCTCGGGAAAGGTGGCGCACCGTCGCACGCCAGCGTGTTTACGCTGCCTCATGGATGTCAATAGATCCTTGACCTTGAATGGAGCAGACGTGTGGGGGAGCCGTGTACACACCAGAGGATAATTTATTCATAGAACGTACTCATGGATGTATGTTGAAATTCTAAAGAAAATTTTTTTATTTTTAAAAATAGACTTTTGCCTTTCTTGATTCCTCCACCGCAAGAATCAACCTTTTGCTGAGGTTCCCAGTGGACATTTTTTCACTTTGCCTTTTAGTTGAATCCACTTTTACGATGACTAGATTATCCACAACTTACATGTGCGTTAGATCAATGATAACAAACTTACGCAAAGAAATCATTTTTTTGGTGTAAATATGTCATTGAAACTGTCCAGTATTATTTTTGTAACGTTATCAAGCCATTGAAAACTTTCTTTTTCTTTCACGCCATCAACAGTGATCTGAGGACTATACTCCCCTTCGTCCGTAGTACACGTGAACACTCTGAAAACATCGGTTCTGATATCCTAGTGGCTGTTACAGATAACAGCGTAGAGATACCAAGCTTTATCGAACACTACAGCAGAACGAACCTAGTGGAAGACATAAAGGATATACATGTGAACTCATTCAACAAGGTACATGCGTCGGGCTCAGCTGTCAGCTTAACGGGGCCGATGAGGAACGATTCCAGTGAAAGTCTCATCAATGTGGATGACTCAAATATGTCCAATGGCGACGCCATAACTTCGAATTCCGATAGGACTACAGTTAACGTGATGCCACCAAGCATCGATGCCAACTCGTCCGATGGGTTTACTCCAGAAGTGAATTCTCTTATGCAGCTATTCTGTCTTCTTATAAACCGTAGGTGGCCGACACTGGAGAAGATTAAAACCTAGTATCTTACATTGATCATTTGCCTGTGTGTCAATCTGCTTGGCCCCATCTATTAGTCAATGACATAACCGGAAACTGTCAATTAACATCTTGATGTTATCCCTATACAAACACTCAAGGGACAAACTATTATTTAAAATGTGCTCAGCCAGGTAAGGAGGGCCGTAGAAAGGGGGATTGAAGGGGCGATCCACATGAGAAGTTTTTTTCTCCCCTTTACATTAGAGAGAGGCGTTTTCTGCCAGATACAGAATTTTATTCTTAGAATGTGGGTGCTAAAAAATCTCGGCCCACCCCGGGCATACTAAGACTAAGAACACTAAGGACACATCAATTTAAAGGATGATTTCTTCAAATTCATTCAACCCTCATCTAATGGTGCTTCTGACAACTGCCCAAGGAGCCAACTTAGATTTTCAATCATCCATGTGGTGATTTATATTGATAAATAATGTTGCAATTTATGTTTATAAATAATGTTGCAGGCAAATCCATTTATGGTTTCAACTTAAGGCTGAATTGAAACATGGATTACGCTCTACTAATCAATAACTACCCTTAAAACCGATTATTTTTGTGCAATAGATTTTTAAACTTTATATTTCAACTTCCAAGTAACCTAAATTATCATTAATGAATTATTTTAATATATTCTAGTTTAAACGTGTCTGGGGCTGAGTGCCTATAAATGTGACAAATTTATGAAATAAATATATTGTATCATTTTAATACATTGCTTTTGATGGTTGTTATTTTTGTCTGTTGGTCGCATGGTATATGTGACATACGTGAAAGCTTGCCTGTATGAAGTTCACATGTGATTAGTGGTATCTGAGTTGATTACGCTTATAATAAGTTATAATATACTTATATTTCTTTATTCTTAACTTGGTACCATACAGTCGCACAGCGTGACGACCATTCTTGACAAGGTTAACCCTTGTATTGCAAGAGCCGTTGCAACCTATGGAAAAATTCCTAAAATATGTCGAGACCAGGCGAGGTATTAGTACTTGAGCTAAAACAAAAAGACTGCTTATATGTAGTAGCGAGCTACAGCATAACAGTCAGCTTACTGGTGAGCAAAAGTAACGTTGTAGAAACAGTCTAAAACCTCACTGAAAGCTTTGGCTATCAATCGGCACACGCTGCAAGAATCGTTGAAGAGGTCGAGCACCGTGGCAGTCCACATCACGCCAGTAGAGCTGCTGCAGACCAGACAAGCCAGACAATCACGGACTAACCCTGCACCTTAAAAGTTCCCATCCATCTCTTGTACTTATTGCAAATGAAACTTTCATGACAGATTCGGTCTCAACAGCCGCCTGCGCAACCAAAAGGACACAATTAGCCCAGCCACGCATCATATGATTAAATTTAATTGTCTTGATCGACTTCGCTGGACGAGCTAAGTTTCTTTAGGCTTTGTATTTAATTATGTCCTTAATTCACAAGTACTATGGAAGGTCTCTAAGTCTTGTCTTATCTCGCAGTTTTGGCTTATCGCTAAGTCTTGGCTTGTCTTAATGGATTGGCTTATCTCTAATTCTTGGCTTATCACCCAGTCTTGGCTTATCTCTAGGTCAGTGAATTCAACAAGACTCAAACTTCTGTTGCCAAATATTTCTAACAGATGATGAAGGGTTTTTGTGTGGCATCGTTAGAAAACCAAAAACTCGGGTGCGAATGTTGGCGCTGCGTGTCTGGGTCCATTTTGACTCAGTGCTATTCGGGTGTCATTTGTGGCAGTTTATTTTAGTTAAACTGAGGACTTAAGTTTACAAACATTTGGCCAATTCAATTATCTTAATCGCTTTTATAATCCCAACCTTTCACTTCTGGTACACGAGTACGAATAGTCGCAGCCTTTCCCGATAAAAGTGATTATGATTTAATAAAAGTATTTCTTAGATAATAATTTATTGCTAGTAAAAAATCATAACTTTAAATTTGGATCAAATGCTTAGTTCTTTAATTGTTATTTTATACACATTATTTTATTTATAATAAAAAAATTCTTAAACATATACTAAAGTAAAAGATGATATATTTTATTTTTTGCACATTAAAATTTATTAGAGTTCCGTAAAATAAACTAAAATCACCATCATTGTTATACGAATCACAACGCATTTATATTAAATGGTTTCCTTAGCGTGATATGGTAAGCCGAGCTCACTCTTATATCTACAAATGTTATGTGTTAAATTTAATCTTTGACATAACGGCAACGGCTGATGGCTGATTTTAAAATTCTATTTACACATGCAACTGACATAACATTCGTTTCATAGGCACACCAACTCCCAGTTTAATTGAATAGTCCAGCTTTGTAGTTTAATGAATAACTTCCCCCGAAATCTGCTGGTATACTAAAAATAAATAACTACGTTGAGAAACTGGGAGTCTCCTGAAATCGTTGTAGACTCCCCAAAAATCTGCCTATCTTCTCCTTTATCTGTCTAAAACTTGATCTATCACCACGATCACGGTCATAAAGATGTTAGCATCGGTACACTGTATCTATACTCTATTATTATTATTAGTAGTAGTGGTCGTATATAGCCCAGTACCCCAGCCCAGGGCTGGGGCCCACCGCGCTGTACATGGAAATTTGAACAAACATAATCGTGACTTTGAAAAATAACATACATTTATTAATTTAAAAAAAAAAGCAGCTGTATAAAAAAAAATTAAAAAAAGACAAATGTATATACATCCCAACCACCTCAGAACTTTTACATGTCAAGCCATGGACGGCAGCCAGCAGAATCGTTTAGTGGCCCAAGGGGGGAATCAGTCGGGGTAGTAGAGTTTAAAGTTCAAAGAGATGTGTTTTGAGTGCAGTTTTAAAGGCATGGGTGGTTGGTATTTTTCGGATGTGTAGAGGGAGAGAATTCCATTGTTTGGGGGCACAGAAAGAGAGAGACCGTCCTCCATATGTTTTAGTCCGTGTCTTGGGAACGGACAGAATACGCGTGTCTGCAGAGGAGCGAATCTGTCGAAGGGGTGAAGAGACAGAAAGGGTTTAACCTCCCATAACTTGATTTTTGCTAGCTGCTATGGAGCTAACAGCCATGCTCTTTCAAAATCTTCAGATAATCAGCACCAGGGAGCTGAACGCGCTAACCTAAAATTGCTGCGGGTGACAGGGGCGTGTCGGTCAAGCACAGTGCGCAATGCACGGTATGGCGTTTCCAAAGTAGGGCATAGGGTGGCGGGCACTTCTAAACTCAGGTCGTGATTAAAGGCATCTGTCAAGATCATGAAATCAGCGGTAGTGTGTTTGTTTGGGAAGTGGGGGATGAACAGGGCTTGGGAGCGAGAGTGAACTATTTTCATGTTACGGGCGAAACGATGTGGGAGTGAACGAGTGAATGAAAGGTGGATATCAAAGGGTTCACAGAGTCGCAGTCTAGAGAGATCTTGTTGTTAGAACGAGAGATAGGACTCGCGACAGCGAGACGTTTTTTTTTGAGATAATGGATTTGTCAGGATAGGTTTTGCTGAGTGGCATGTTGCCCTACATTTTGGATTCATAATGACTTAACTGTGAAACGCATTGCTGTTGTAATGATGTCGTCAATAAATGACGTATGCACCTTGAAGCTTATTGCTTGTTGAATCAATCTAGTCTGTTGTGTGACAAGACTTATACGACATCTAAACAGAAGCGAGAATCATAGACTCTCGATAACGCCAAAATATTCAATCACTAGAATATTTGACAGCATCCCTGTTTATATTACGCAAACTGCATAACTTCCTGAACTAAAGGAGAGGATTGGAGGCCCTAACACTAAGCTCGCAAATAACACAGAAGTGGTCAGAGGACAGCTCTAGAGTGACTGTAACTACACCGTCCTGAGGCCTATGTAGCACAAAACGAAGAACATGTCCCAGATTATGAATCTAGACTGCTGAAGAACTGAAATTGGTTTAATGCACGGTGACGACACAGTCAATTTGACCAACGTCTGCTTTCGTGAGAGCAAGACGTGAGCCCTCCCACAGCAAGACGTCAACTCTAGCCACAGCAAGACGTCAACTCAAGCAACAGCAAGACGTTAACTCTAGCAACAGCAAGACGTTAACTCTAGCCAAAGCAAGACGTCAACCCTAGCCACAGCAAGACGTCAACTCAAGCCACAACAAGACGTCAACTCAAGCCACAGCAAGACGTCAACTCAAGCCACAGCAAGACGTCAACCGAAGCCACAGCAAGAGGTCAACCCAAGCCACAGCAAGACGTCAACTCAAGCCACAGCGAGACGTCAACTCAAGCCACAACAAGACGTCAACTCAAGCCACAGCAAGACGTCAACTCAAGCCACAGCAAGACGTCAACCGAAGCCACAGCAAGACGTCAACCCAAGCCACAACAAGACGTCAACTCAAGCCACAGCAAGACGTCAACTCAAGCCACAGCAAGACGTCAAATCTAGCCACAGCAAGATGTCAACTCAAGCCACGATGACAGGTGTGGCAGCAACGGCCAAATCTTCACACCAAAAACGCCCTTAATTGACTATCTGGTAGAGAGTGTATACAGAAGGGATGTGCTTACCTTGTATTGGCTTTCGCTACATTCTTAAGTATCAAACCCGTATTGGCGTTTACAGTAATGTAACGGGGAAACGCTAAGCCGTGAAAAGTAAGAGGTACAAAAGATAACTGACCGGGCATTCAGGGTGCCACGGTGGTTAATATTGTTGTATGTACATACACTTTACTATTGTTATTGGCTGGAAAGTTCTAGACATGTAACAGTAAAACAAACAAAAAATGGTTAAACATATAAATTACAGGTTTTTTTTAGTTTTCAAGGCTATGACCTGTGATGCACCCTCCTTGCCCTGCCACATTTTCTGTTTCGTGTTGATCCTGTAGTATAGGCCTAAACGTGCCAAAGTGTCCTCGCTTTTATAGCCATTTTATTGTTTAAGCTACTTTATTATTTTATTTTTCACATTGAAGTTACTATTCTAGTGTCTCTGTTTTTTTCCTTTTTAATTTACTTTAGCAGTTTATAGTTTACATCTTTTAAATCATTTAAAGCGCTTAGAGCTGTCAGGTAAGCGCTATTAAAAAAAAAAATGCCTAAATCAATAAATAAATAAAATAAATGACAAACACAATTGCGTTACATCCATTGACAGACACGTCTCGTTGTTTCAATGGTCTCTGTATTTCTAGAACATTTTATCTCCTTTACTCCATGTTTAGATACGATGGAAAAATTTCTATAAGAAGTAACAAATTTCTGCTCCTTTAGATTTTGATTGATTTTAATATGTGCATTGTAAGTTTTAAAAAAATAAAATTAAACCAAAAATGACACACATACTTATGATATTTCTTTTTCTTTTCTTTTTTTCTTTTTTTTTTTTAGTTTCTTTTTCCCCCCTTAAAATATCGCGTAACATATTTAAAAAAGGAATGTGATGAATCTTACAGTTTTATTCAAATAAACGTAGTTTGGCGAATTGATTTCGGAAGGGGATATCCCCAATTTAAAAGTGCATCACGTTATATGGTCCAATTTGTGGCAACACAGAATCGAACTGTTTTAACAGCAGTCGCGCCGCTGGCAATGCCGAGGACCCGTTGTCCACACGAATCACATTGCTCAAACTGGCCGTCCACGAGCTGCCGAAGGAAGACAGCTTCA